AGTAAAGAGCAAAAAAAATGAAAGAGGCAAAAGTTTAGCCTGCTTGAGATTAGTCTTTCTTATCATTACCTGTGGGAGGAATAGAGGAACAGTGGAGAGCATGGCCAAAAGCTGTGCAAGAGGGCTGATTCACCAGACAGGACTAAAATTTTTGCTAGTTGAAGAGAGAGACCATTTGTACTGGTCTGCAGAATTTGTTCTACCCCTATCAGCAGCTTCTTGAGTTCAGTCTTGGTTCTGAGTACTCCTTGAGAATTATGCACTCAAGAGCAAGATACTTACAGTTGTGGAAGGCCTAGTGATTTTTTTTACACTCCTTTTTGTTTTGCTTTCCCCATTATACCTCTTAATGTATGTAGCTGTTCTTCTTATGATAGAGGTAGTGAAGGTAAGTGGAGGAAATAGAATGTTACACATAACAGTGTAGATGGAAGATGGAATTTAAGATTAATACTTTTTTAATTTAGTTCAATTAAGCTATTGTAATACATCAAGGAAGCAGAAATAACAGCTATCTGTTTTCATAAGTATGTGGTATAATAATTTAAACATCTGATTAAACAACACAACTACTTTTGGGGAAAAAAACCTTAGATAAATAGCTATTTTGTTTTGTGTCATTTGAGTAACTACCTTTGTTTCAGTGCTGACCCTTCTCCCAGCCTTTGTCTCTTGAACCAGTAGATAAATGCATTATGCAGGATATACTGTTTAGAAAATGAACTTCATAGGCACTCCTGGAACTTTTAAAGAATTGCATTATCAGCCTCAAAAAGACCATTAGTAACCAGTTTGCAGGTGAAGTCAGGTGGCATAATGAGATAAGATGATAATCAGTGTTGTGAGGATTTTTTTTTTGTTCAAGGTCAGATGTCACGTATTCCAGTGCAACAATTTATTTTTATATTTATTGGAAACCTGGGAGAGCTCTCCAATGATTTAACATTAATTTCTAGTAATAGTGGGCTAGAATCTTAAACAAATGTAATTAGTCCCATGGACTAGAGAGGCTTTTTGTGGCAAAATTCCAGAACTAGAACCAGTGCGATTGCTTAGCTTTTGTTTTTATTAAGGAAAGAAAAATGTGACTTTAAAAAAGACATGCATCTTGTAAATGTCCTGGAGGTTTATAATCCTAACTTCAACATTTTGAAATGAGCCATGAAACTGACCTTGTTCAACAGAGCTGTTTTTAAAATTGTTGTCCAAGTGGACTATTCCACTCTTGGGCTAGGGACAGAAGTTGCACACAAACTGTTGTGATTGGAAATTGGTTTAAACATGTAACAGAACAGAAGCTCAGTGCACATAAACCGCTTTTAAAATGCCTGAAACCAGTTTAAGATAAACCTGGTTGGATGTAGTATCAGACGTGATTTAGGTTAAACCAGTTTATGGAACTTCTGTCCCAGATCCCTTCCCACTTCACGTTAACTCACAATCCCCCAACATCCTAGGATGCTTTGCAGCCCTGGGCTGCGTTGTCTGCCCCATCAAAGCAAGGCTGACCCTGCCCCCAGCTATCAGAGTTGAGGCACTAAAGTATCGGCTTCCCAGCCTGCTTCCTGCCTAGGCCTGTCAGCCCAGCAGGGAGGGGGGCAGGGGAACAGATGCCCAAGGCCCTGCTTAGCCCCAAGCTGTATAGCAAGGGGAGAAGAAAAGCTCCTGTGGTGGAGGGTTTTTGCAGCCCAGTAAGCTGGGCAGGGATTGGCTCAGCTCAACCCTCTCCTCAAGTTCCAACTTGTGTCGGGGGAACTTACACCTCCCTGCTGCCCCAGCCCAGGTTGGGGGGAGGAGAAAGCCCCCACCCAGGAGCTTCTTGCCTCCCCCCAGGTGGGTGCTTTACTCCTGTACCAGACAGACCCCTGGTGGTGGGGGCTAGGGAAGGGGCAGGGCTGGGGCATCCCAGCTGGGCTCGAGCTGTGGGGGGTGAAAAGCCTCCTTGGTTGGGTGCTGTCCCATCCACGCC